TGCTAGTAATACGCCTGCCTTAGCGAAGGCAATCCTCATGCTAAATAACCCGATTACTGAAGAAATCTGAAATCAGATTACCTTGTAGAGAATCGATCTGATGTGAGCACGGTTAACATCATGTCTCTAACCATACCTCCTTTTCCTTCAATAAGTGAAAACGGGAGTTTTCACCCTCCTTCAGGCCGTCAGTAACCCCGTTACGAAGCCCTCAATGAGTTTTGCTTCCATGACAATAGGGTTAGGCTTTAGGGCGTTGATATCCGATCTGAGAAATGCCCCCCCCCCCTCCCCCTATATGGTCTATACAATGACAATGGCTTGCTGATATGCAAATCAGTGCTATTTTCCTTCCAGGTCTAGTAGCAACTACTAGACACGGGAGAGAGGGAAGGTTTGGTCAGCCTAGACAGATATCGATCAGGGAATCGAACTCGTGACCACGCGTTTGTGGTATATGCCACCCGGCACTACACCAACACTTCCCACAATTATGTGATTTCAAAGCCACGGCTACAGCTTTTCTATCGAACACGGAGGCAAGCCTATCACTCATCTTACGGAGACTTGGGTATAGCAAAAATTGAAACCGGTCCGGTCGCTTAAAAACGGATTGGGGCAATCAGCTTTTCTTGAACGATCTCAAGGAGAGCTACTCGACAGGGAGCCGAATGAGTTGAGTAAACGTTGTTGTAGATGAATTTTGACTTTATTTGAGATTCATCGAAAAACCCTGTGAAATCAGAAGGCACGAAAGGCTCCAGGTGATTGAATCTGACGTCATCCGTGTGATTAATGATTCGTCGGGGATTCCGGTGGAAACAAAGAATAGCTCAAGGAAGACGCAGTTAAGCCCCGCATGAATGATTATGAATACGAATACGAGGACAATAGTTACTTTCTTCACTTTTATCATGGTCTTCACTTTCTTCGCTTATGACAACTTCATGGTTTCACATTTTTTCAGAGCATTTTCATTTTTTCCGAATGATAAAGACTTAAGCCCTGACGCTTCTATGAATGACATTCGTTTTGGAAAGGACTTGAAGAAACCCTACCCCTTCTCCCGGGGAGGATCTCAATAGCGTACTTTGTTGAAAAAAAAATGGAGTCCTACAATCATTCGCTGGGGTGACTGGCCAGAATTTTAGTAACGCTCAGTGAATCCTCACAGTGGCTTGGGAAACTCGAGTCTTTCTACCTTCTCCAGAAGTGTTGGCATCTACCCAAGCTTTCACTTTTACTTTTATGACCTGCAATTTTTCCGAAGTCATATTCTATGGATATTCTGCCATCACCTTATCCTTATGTGACGACCCCATAACGAGGGTAGCGCACAAACTAAGCGGCAGGAAAATCAGTGAACCATCTTCAAAAGGCAAAACTCGCAGTGTGGGCACGAGCAAGCAAAAATGAGTACCAAAAATGTGGTTGAAGCAAGGGTAATTGGCTCTTCAATGTCATATCGCTTCAAAGCTGACTAACTGCCAATAAATGCTTCCTTACGATTCCTCAATGGAATGTTTTCGTTCACGTCTCCTAAACATTCCTCTGAGCTGTTCGGAGTTCGGCCTGCCCCCCCCCCTAGGTTGTTCTTTCACTTTCTTTTGACGAAATCACATGTCACTTATCGTTTTTCTTCCAAGAAAAAACACTTGTAACATAAAAACCATAAAAATTTGCTCAATATTTAGCCGTGTTGCGTATCGATATAGGCCGTTGTTTTCGATTTGGTTTGTTCGTTTCAAAAGAAACCTTTTTCCAATCATCTGTGACCCATTTTTCATTTCCTCACAGGCAATGTGGGACTCACCATTAATCATAAGGATGATGTAATATTTGATTACTTTAAGCTTTCATTCTCCTTGGATTTTGTCAAAGCCGTTTTCGTTCGTTTCCGCAGCACCATCAAAATTGATTGTCGTTCGCGTTCGAATTCCTCAGCTTCTCTCCTGTAGTAATTCTCTTAAAGATCTTGCAAATAGTGATAGAGCGGTAGAACTGCTACTTAACCCGATGAAAACTCAAATTTTAATCATGACCTTCTTTTCAACCTTATTTTTTACAAATTAATTAAATCGAATGGTGAATTCCTCTTAACGTTCATTTACATTCTGATTCAAATGGGAGTGACAGCTTTATCTGCAGGAATTTCGTCTAGCTTTAGAGATTTAAAATTCGAATTTAAATTGGGTATGTGAAGATTCACAGAGAGTGCACAAGTGAGAAAGGAAACGGACCTGCTCGCCCAGATATACACGAAAAAATGGTAGTTGGGGAAAAAAATAGAACGAGCTATCCTGGGAAGAGACATCACCAAAATGCTTTCCGTTCGGAAATATTTCTTAGAATAGGGCATTCCTTTTGCATTGATATTTCAACGTGCTTTTTGTAGACCTCGTCGTAGGGTGGGGCTGATTCCTGGGCATTCAGATTCTTTACAACTTGCCTTTAGCTGTAGGCCAAGTTCCATGTACAACATTTTGTTTGGATTAAAGCGGCTCCTTTCGCGTCCTTGTTCTTTCCTTCTACTTTCGCTTCTTCTTTCTTTTTTCTTTTACTTTCTTTTCCCGATCTCTTTCTCTCTATCTCTCGGACAACACACAAAGAATATCGTCGGACGAATCTTCCTCAATCACCTGACAAGTTAATGTTTCCAAAGAACAAAGTGATGGCTGTAGAGAAAAGGTGGAATTTGAGAATAACTGGCGCCGTTCCTCATCTGCACTTACAACCTTCCTAACTGTGGTCATGAGACGTTTTGCCTGAATAATGATCAAACGCATTTTCGTTCTTCAAACCATTTCATTCGCTTTCTGAACTCTTTGTTGTAGCCGCTTTTTTTATTCCTTGTGATGATCATTCATATTTCATCAACAAAGACATGATGATGGAGTCACCTGTCCACCTGCCACTCATTGGTCCCATGAAAGTGTGCCATCCTCATACTATTTATTTATTTACTTATTTATTTCATACGCTTTATAAGACAGCGTGAGAATATATAAATGCGAAACAACCGTAAATGAAACTCAACAACAATTCTTATTAAAACAAGAAACTTGACACCTACGCTTGTAGTATAAAGTTTGCTGCGGACCGTTTGAAAGAAGCACTAGAGCTGCGGATGGATATAGATTTATTGATACGCAAAAAAGATAGTCCAGCCCTAATAGTAAAAAAATTCCGTCTAATTGTAGTTTTAGGCCTATGAAAGGATAATTTGAGTTCTCCACCCCTGGTTTTGGATGGGATGAGATCATAGAATCGTGGAAAATCAATTACAGTTCATAAAAAAATCAATCAAAAAAAAGAAAAGAAAAGAAAGAATCAGAAAGAGATCAAGAAGAAAAAAGAAAATCAATTACTATTCATAAAAAGAATTTTCAAAGGCCCTAACTTGTAGAGCAAGAATGGGTAGTATTATATGGGTGATCTGTGGATCTAATCGACTCAGGCCAGCCAAACTTGGTACCAACGGCACAAATCCCTCTCGTCCTGAAGCCTCGGTTTAAGCCTTTTATGCCCTGCTGAACCTAAGACAAACATAAACACCAAACATCATAAAGGGCTGCTCGAAAAGTACCTTCCCCAAAGAGCTGCTGTAACCCATATGTATCTCAGGATTCTGTGGAAGCTCCCTTGAGAACTTATATGAGGGCCTTACCAACGGGAATACACATAGCAAATTCGGCTACCTCTCCCTTGTCTATTGTTGAGTATGATTCCACCTCCTTCTCTTCCGTTTCCTTTCGTTCATCTTTTTTTTTTGTAGTTTTTCTCATCTTCTCATCGTAAATTCATCACGCTTACTTCATGGTCCTATCGAAATTTCATTACTCGCAGATTATTTCCGAATCGCATTCTCAGCTTTTTTCGGCCATTACATATCTCAATTTCAGAAATGTCTTCTAAATTGCTGGAGCTAAACTAAAAATGCAAAATGTTACCACGGATAGCAGTTTTGTTGCTGTTCATCAAGGAACTTTTTGCTGGATATATTTCACACAGCAGCGGTACATCTCATCGAAGTTTGTTCTTTAGCCACTTTCTTTTTTTGTCTCTTGTCTGTGTGCTGCGCCTAGTGTCAGAGGAGAGGGTCCCCCTTCTCAACTTTATTTTCATCGAAATGGCCAATCACATAGATTATTTCCTTTAATAGCGTGTATATAGGATGAAAATTTTGAGAATGCCCTTAGGCCTCTTAATCTCACTCACGTTATTATATGTCTTCTAATGAAGCCTGTCCTACTGGATTTATGAAAACCGATGGGAAGCCGTAATTTCCTCAGTAATCCTACTCTCAAAATAAATTTGCACTCTTTGCCCCCAACATTTTGAGGTTTTCCCTGTTTGCCATCAATTACCACTACTTTCACGTGCATTCCTTGGAAGAAAGTCGAAAAGGAGGGTGATAACAAAGGAACGTCAGTACGACCTGACTTTCATGAGGGAGAGGGAAGTTTTGAGAAACGGACGAGTTGACCTGCGATCTATTAGGTTTCAATTTCACATAGTTCGCTTTCGGGTATGGGCACATACGTGCGTCCTAGGATGCACGCGGCAAATTGCGCTTTGCGGCCAAGTTCATGACTATTTGAACGACTTTAGAACCTATTCATTGGGACCCAAATTTGAAGTAGAGTAGATTAGAAGGATCACCTGACCCTGCCAAACTACTCTACTTCGAGTTTGTGCTCCAAGAATTGGCGTTAGAGCCGTAGAAGTCGTCAACAAATTCGCCGCGCAAGTTGCCGCGGCATTCTCGGACGCGCGTAAGTCCCGTTCCCCGTCGCTTCCCACGCACAGCTACTTCGTTCAAAGTGAAAAAGACCATGGAACCTTTGGAAACCCCCAGAACTTGGGTAGATTTCCTCAGAATGAGATGAGTTCCGTTCGCTGCTAGGAGCGCTAGGTCAGCATTCTTGTCCGTCGTTACCTTCTTGCGAAAACGTTACCAATCAAACTAGTAGGTTTATTATCAGGGGTGATCTTTTAGAGGATGCACAACAACATACAATTTATATGAATGTATGTGATTCTGTATCCTCCTTTTTAGCTGGAAATCGATGCTATAGCTGTATGTCGCGATATTACGGTGTCACGTGGCAATTTGCCGGCTATTCAAGAATATATGTAGAGCCGAGAGCATTCACAGATGCATGCCGGTATGTATTAGGAGTTATTCATTAATCAGACCTTTTTTACTGAGTGCTTCCCTTACTTGTTTTCCTTCAGAAGTCCACTGACACGAGGGACTGATGTACCTTATGCATTCTGTGATGATAACTCGAATTGTATCACAATGGTGGAAGATTTGAAAATCGGCAAGTTTCTCGAACTCTTTATCAAAAGCTTCATTGAGTGCTCAAGCTATCCAATCTAATGCTCACGACCGATTCCCTCCCTTCTGTTTTTATTTAATTCGGCTATCTTCTCGATCACGCCCAGCCGGAAGCATGCCCACTGACTTCGATTTCGGGGATTTTCTGTTCGACGTAGAGGGATCAGGGGGGCAGAAGGTGAATTTTTGGTTCATTCAAAAGCAAATCATGGGTCATAAATACAATGGTCACATGGGTTCCCGCCACCCGAAGCTTCTACCCAGAGGGCCAGCTGTTTTGGAAGGAACCAGCTAAAATAACTTCATCAAAGTGCTAGGCAGTTGTCACCTGTTACAGACGTGTCTCATTGAGGTTTCTTGGCTGACATGATGATGATAAGAAGCCTCCGCAAGAATTCGCCACTTGACAAGGAGAGGGGGAGGGTAAAAGTCAGGACGATTGGAATTGGCTGGATCGAGAACAATTCAATTTCCTTGCCCACTTTGACATTGACATCGAAAATCTGCATGCTTCAGATGGCTGTTCATCTTATCGGCGGATTTTGAGTAGAAAGATATTCAGACGCACATGAAAGATGATGGAAGTTGCTGTGTGCTCATGAAATATGTAGTCTCTTCAGAAATTAAAATATGGTCATTCATTAAACCTATGGGAGCCCTGCACGAGCTGCCGAGATGGAATGGGTGCTCCAAGGTCCCCATAAGATCTGATGAACCACAAATGTCTTTACATTCATCTTCATTTCGGTTGTTAGGAGTACTAGTTACTCAATTCGATGTCTTACAGTGCCTGCAAGCTCTACTGTGGGCCACCCACCCATTCAGAAATAATACCTGTGTATTTACACAGGGGTTTTCCAAACCCAAATATATCAAATTCATACTTTCTTGGAAGGTCGAGTGAAGTTCTTGAGGTCTTGAGGGAGTCGCCGTGGAATTTGATAGGTGAACCCTTCACTTTTGATTTTGGAGGGAATAGGGACTTCAGCCTTATTAATCGAACCATAATGTCCCTTTCCCAAAAGCCCTTCAAGGTTCCAGGAACCAGCGCCTTCATGGGAAGCCTGTTTGTACTATTATGTTCCAACTAACTATTCCCAGATGTCATCTGACAAGTCGATGGCCACAGCACTTGACCTACATGTGTAGTGTAATGAGATCAGCCGTGTATCCATGTGATTGGGGCAGCTTTCGTCTGCGCTTTGGATAGAATCAGGCTTACCCATAGCAGATAATTCGCCGCATAACCATTACGGAGCGCAATTCTAGCGATTAGCAGGGAAATTTGCTGGTATCGAGGAAACTGGTTTCCCTTTAATAGTTCACTCAAGGAACAGACTTCGGAAAAGAAAAGGCTTCGCAATTGTTGACAAACAATATATAATAAAGCCAGACTCAGAAACTGGGAGGAACTGAATGGGACTTTCCCTTAAAGAACACCCCATGACACATTCAGCGAAATCATTCAGATCCCGCACAGATCTTTCTCGCCCGACAATTTTATATTGGGTAGTCATAATATCGAAGAATTTGTAATACCCTGAAAGAACTGGGAATAACGTAGGTACAGTGATCAGGTTGAAAGCCTCAATGAGCATGTTATGCTACGGAATCAGTGCACGGAAAAAAAGATTATATTAGACTAAATAGAATAGCAGGAGTACTTTACTTCTATAATAAAAAAACATTTACCGAAAAGTTTAAAAAATATGGCAGTAAAATAGTTCGGTAGATTGACTTCATACTCTGTGATAATTTTTGCTGATAGTAATGTTCGCCCGTTAATCTAGTACGATTTCAGGTACCGGTGCTAAAGGTTTTATCCGAGGTTGTTACTCCTCGGTCTTCCTTACTGGATTCAATCGCTCTGGATCAGCCGCAGCATTGGCCAGTCACACCTTCTGCCATACATTCAACCTCACACAGTTATTAAGCAGAGGCCAACCTCAGGAAAGTAGTATGAGGTAAATTGTGATAGTTGTTTTTACATCATCATATGTCGATCAAATCATATGTCTGAAAAATTTTCCTGGTCTGATCTCTGCCATTCATCACAACATGTTTTGGCCTCAGACTGAAACTCATAGAAAAAGTGGCTATCTGATCACAAAACAGAAATCGTCAGCTCTCAGGCTGGGAAGACTAGTTACACCACCTTCACTTTCTCGCTTACTCCTGATGGAGCATCATTGCTATTACTTCGCAGTAACAGCCCAATACTACCTAAGTGAATAAGGGGTTTTCTCAGAGTGCATATCCCACGGCTCGCTCGAACCTCGAGTGTTTAAACACCCAAATCTTTGAAGCTCAGCGGCTCCACACGGGATGCTGAGCGAAAAGTCGTCCCATCACAATCTATGATCATTTTCCCTTCCACCCGACGGCAACGAGCTAAGTTCCCAAGTATTATTTATACATAGGACTCGACCCACAAATTTCAGCACAGAGTAGCGAAGATAACTCGCAGCGCTATTTTTCTTTTGAAAGGATTTCTCAGTTCCATGCAACGGCCTAGCTAAAAAGGTTGGTAGGTTGGTTCAGCATGGAGAAATTCTGAAAATATTTTGAAAAAAATAATGTTTACCTCACAGAACAATTATCCCAATGGTACTGAGGCACATTTTCATCTACTCCGCACTTCTAGAAACCCTTAGTCAGGGTTTTAAAGCGATTCTAAAGAATATAGCGCTCCACCGTTCCTCGTTCTGACCCCTTGTGTTCCGGTTTTCGATGATGGAACCACGATTGTAATCTACTTTCCATGTAGTGCTTCCGATTGATATCTGCTTTCTACACTTCCATAACCCAGTTGTATGCTTCGCCCTCGTTTAGTAAATAGTTGTTTTCTAGTAAGTAAATAAATGATTCTAGTTTGAAGCAATAAACCTGATTAACCACTCTACTACCATGTAGAAGAGCTATCGATACCATCGCAGTCATTCCACAAGGTAATAGATGTAGAAATTGGGTCGCTCTAGTTGTACGAAATTTGATAGAATAGCATTAGATAGCCATAATTCCCACTTATCTTGAAGTCACGCGGTTGTCTGTGTATTTCCTTCATCAAGTTCCAGACAGGAGTATCAAAATCCCACAAATCATCAAAATCCTTCTTTATATCCCACAAACTTGAGTAATTAAACCGTCAATACAATATTAACAATGCCAGAACTATATGATACTGCCAGAAAATATGTCATCAAATGAACTTAAGTATGATATTATGGCTAAAGGTGGAGTTAGAAGCGAGAATGATATCAGATTGCTCAGGTACAATACCCACCCTAATTATTCAAAAAAAGGCGAAAAAGACGCGGATTCGCGTCTTTTTCGTCTTTTTTCTATAACTAGATGAGTTTACACTTTTTCCATGTATGATGTTATATAATTCGACTCAGCTCGTCGAGGTCTATAAAGTGGTGAGTTCAAACTTTGGAAAACTTCAATTTATAAGTCTTCGGTCCACCGAAGATCCTGGGGGTACGTCATTAGCGGCGACGCTCGCCATAATTGTAACCAGAAGGCATTGTACATTTCTGGGAGCCGATGATGCATCGTCTTTCCACAGGAGCTGGTAACAGCACCTTGAGTCGATCCCAGGTATTATCCCTTGACCTTAGCGGCTCCCACAGTAATTACCGAAGGAGTTTCTTCGCACCTCGACAATAGCCTGCCTACTAATGGTGCCGCAGTCGTAAACTATGTTACAACCTACACATTCAAATGCAGCCGCTATTATCTCTTACTAGCGAGCATGAAAGTGGTACAATTATTCAAGTTGCAAAGTTTTTGTTGCAAACACAAGAATATCCACAAATGCTATGAAAAATTCGTGTTATGGGAGGAGTTGCCACTAAAAACTTACATTTCTTGAAAATCATATTGATTTGCAAAGTAAGGTGAAACAGTTGCGTGTTAGAATTGTGTCCATTCAATCACAAGAGTAAATTTCTAAGAATGTTCGATTGATGGCGCACATCACAGCAAAAAGGCAATCAATCAATATGTTGCCTCGGCCACTCAAGCCACAGGCCTAATTGGGTGGCCGAATGGCGGAGTAGAATGGAAATATGGTGCTAAAGGTGTTAATTCGAAGTGTGATTCATTAAGTAATTTTTTTACCGCTGAATAGCTTTTTGGAAATGGATTCCAACGGTGTAAGATTCATACGTTTACTTCAAATAAAAAATATGTGGTTCCGTCTCATGCCGCAAACCGGAATTTGGACGATAAAAACGCTTTTACTATTGAACTCATGCATACAATGTGCAGACTGTAGGGAAGCACTATTTCTGAAGTGTAGGTAGATCATTTACTAGCATTGGAAATCAACTCATATTTGCTATTTCTCAAATTAAAAAGTCGCTATCGTTCAAGATTGGTGCACGACTGAATTCGTCCATTTCGGGAAAAAATGGTACCAAAATGATCAGTAAACCATGAAAAATGCAAAGGTCTACTTTCTGCTTAGCCTTGAAATATGACAGCTGCCCTACAACACATTGAATACTTTCAATGGAGGAGAATGCCTTCTGGTTACAATTATGGCGAGCGTCGCCGCTAATGACGTACCCCCAGGAGCTTCGGTGGACCGAAGACTCAAAAACTGAAGTTTTCCAAATTTTGAACTCTTCACTTTATAGACCTCGACGAGCTGAGTCGAACTATATAACACCATACCTGGAAAAAGTGTAAACTCATCTAGTTATAGAGAAAAGACGAGAAAGACGCGAATCCGCGTCTTTTTCGCCTTTTTTGAATAATTAGGGTGGGTATTGTAAATAATGGAGATAAACGTAAATATTGAGCTTAAGCAAGTTCATTGCACAACATCTCTACAAAAGAAAACAAAAGGCAGAAGTAAAGTAAGTTGAAGTAATGCCAGCAGGATGGGTGCGTCCACGTCTAGGATAGTACTGTCTATTCGTTCCGTGGGAACCGGGTTGCGAAATACTCTGTCGAGCCATTACATTCGCGGGCCTTTTAAATCCCAGTGTTCGCACACAGAGCCCTATTGGAATCGCGGGTATTCGCGATAGTAGGCTCATACTTGGACAAGGGAAGAAGTAAATCAGTTTGAAGAAAAAGTGAAAAAAACATTGATTTTTCTTCACAAATGCAACTCAATCGCTGTCAAGTTAGTTGGTGCTCAGATTGTGATCATAAACCTCTGCCACGATCACATCATAAGCTGAAGGAGCACCCGAGCGTGACATCAATGGGGAGAAAAGGTGGATGATGTTCAGGAACAAAAGTGTTTAAGAAAATTCAACACTCTGAGGGACTTGCCTGAAGTATTTTTCACAGCCGTTTAATTGAGTGACCAATCCGTCTCTATTACTACGGGTACTAATCGGAGTAAAACCAAAGAGTCGTTTTCGAGAGGTTCTTGCGAAATGAAAGCTCCCCCATATGGATTTTCCGTTGTAAGGTGCCATGGAAAAAAACGTTCTTCCACTTTTAGAGTAAGCAACATGATCGGATCATTTCGATGAGTTCCCGG